GTTCATGTATACCTTCCCATCCTGTCTTTTCAAACGATATTCCTCAAGGTTTAATGTTTCTTTTTTTATCATTAATGTCACAATATTTCGATCTCTTTTGTTATTTTCATATTGTTATACTTGTAGTGTCAGTTACTATGATAAGCCCACATGCCTTATTCTAGCTTTTGGACAGCCCATTCTATTCATTCTTCTTGAGTCACATTCTAACCTTGTTAATTATTCGCTTATCAATCTTGACTGTTTTTATATGAGCGCGTCGTAGGTGTGTGTACACTTCTTATCCCATTACTCATCACATGTCTGTAACTTATTTTTGTGTGCTTATAAATATTGATTAACGCTTGGTTAAATGGGAGTTGACTTACTAACCATCTCCACCGCGCATCATTTTTGCTTCGCATTCTTTTCTTCGCATCATTTCCCCGTTCGTTTGTCTGATCAACGATTATACAAAATATATTGTATCCAAAGTTCCATTCTCATTATTTGACTTATTTAATTCCTTTATTAACTAACGCGATTTAAGTCAATGATTATATAAGAGAATAAGCACATATATATTTCCACAACGATCATTCATACGATCAAATTGGAGTCAGATCATGGGCCGCTAAAGTGGAGAGCCCTTCGGCAAAAACGTCCGATCTAAATGACAACAAACCAAAGGGCATCCACCACAAAATGCTAACTAGGTACAATAACATGAACTCAAACTCCATACTGATAATGATGTCATATAATTCAGAGCTTGTTAATGAAATAAAACAAGTATGGTATGTATATGGTATATATATATATATATATATATATATATATATATATATATATATATATATATCAGTCAGTAACAACGTGGAACTTCGTACGTACGTACATCAGTTCGAGTTGCCACATTGGCACAGAGATTCGGTTATCGATTCAAATCCCGTAGTGGCAGAGTAGTGAAAGTATAAGTAGTTACAAGGAACGTTAAGGTTTGATGATGTTATTTAAGGAGTATAGTCCAGTGGAATAGATTCGGAAAAAAAAGGACATGGAGAATCCAGAAAATTAGAATTTGAGAGAACACAAAGACTGGATGCACCTGCGCCATTCCAAACGATTTTGAACCATGTCATTCAGGGTCTCTAACCATCGGTTGCTATCATCTCGCGGTCCCCAACCAAGTAGTCTACACCTATCAATATGGCTCAGTCCACTTGTCAGTGACTTCATGGGTTTGTGCCACGTTTTGGTCTGGCCGCCCATAGCTTTCTTCCAACCTACTCCAACACCAGTAAACATCGCACGTCGGGGTAGTCGGTGGTTGGGCATACATAACACATGTCCCAGCCATCTCAACTGATCAAGTTTCACTACTTCATCAATTGATTTGCCACCCTCAACTAGTACCCGTTTCCTAACAACTGGATTAGTTACTCGGTGGTCCCAGGATATACGAGCAATGTTTGGAAGACACCTATGATCAAATACTAGTAACCTACGAATATCCTCTACTCTTACTGGCCATGTTTCACACCCATAAAGTAGGACGGAACGAACTGCTGCGCAGTAAACACGTCCTTTGGTTACTAGACGGATATCTCGCCTACGCCACAAATGACGCAAGTTGGCAAAAGCTAGTCGAGCCTTCTGTATCCGTGTTGAGATTTCGTCACACACCAGACCACAAAGGCTGATGAGACTTCCAAGATAAGTGAAGCGGTTGACACGCTCAACTACTTCACTCCCTATCACTAGTTCGGGGGTCCATGCAACCCAATCCTGAAGCAACATTTTGCATTTTGAGGGGGAGAATCGCATCCCGAACATGCCTGCATTGTTGCTTAGAGTGGTCAGCAGACTCTGCATTTTGTCAGCGTCTTCACCAAATAGAACTATGTCATCGGCATACTCTAAGTCAGCAAGTGAATCTTTCGGTAGAAGTTCAACCCCTTGAAAGTCAGATGTGGAAAGTGTTATCTTTAACTGCACGTCAACGACAAAGTTCAACAAGAATGGAGAGAGTGGACAGCCCTGACGAACACCACTTGAGGTAATCAGTTCTGATGACAGTTCGCCATAAGCTCTCACTCGACCAGTTGAGTTCGAGTAGAGAGCCTTTATAAGGTTAATGCACTTCTTTGGTACTCCTTTCAGTGACAAACTCTGCCACAGGATCTCACGATCGACAGAGTCAAATGCCGTCTTAAGGTCGAGAAATACTACTATTGTGGGGTGTCTGAATGTGTGTCTATGTTCTAGGACCTGACTTGGTGTGAATATCTGGTCTATACAACAACGTCCAGGTCGAAAACCAGCCTGGTTTTCTCTAGTCTGTTCCTCACGAGCTTTGGTTAGGCGTCGAAGTACTATTGAAGCTAATATTTTAGACACCATATTAGTCAAGAGGATTGTTTTCCTTTCTTATAGACTGGCACAATCAGTGATTGAGACCAGTCAGATGGGATTACGTCCAGTTCCCAGATTCTACCTAAAACCTCAGTCAATCTCGCTGCTAATACTGGACCACCATTCTTAAAAATCTCTGGGGTAAACATATATATATAGTATTCTGTTATGTTTCCCATAATTAATAAACAACAATCATATTGTTTGTGTAAAACTGACCTTGAAAAAAACAAGATAGCAAACAAAATATAATAATATGCCCATTACCACTAATAATAATAATAATAATAATAATAATAATAATAATAATAATAATAATAATAATACCACTGGATATGGTCTATCAACAGACTACAGATAATTAACCTTTCATTGTGCTAAAAATACAATTTGCAAAATATACCAATACTGTAATAAAGTGGAACAGAAATACTTTGATTATAGTTCGTACAATCGGTGCCTAATAATAGTAGTAGTGAAACATAGAAAAATGTTTACGAATAGTCTTAGACAAACAACCCTTAAGCAAGAGAAACAAAAACCTATCTACATCCATCTATCTTATATTTAAAAATGAAGAGATTTCGAGTGGGATCGATAAAAGGATTAAAGCAGAATTTAAAAAAAATAGTATCCTTACAGTTTAACTCTGGGTGACATTATTATTATTACTATCAGTGGCTTTATTCAATATTATATTTTTGGTACAATATAGAATTCTCAGCACAAAGTATTTCAACAAGTTTCCCTTTCTTATTTCTTGATCAGTTCCTTGCGATAAATATTGAGTGGTCGCCAGTTAGATGTCAGCGGTTCAGGAATCGACATCTGATAAATGTATATCCCTTTCGATGCATACCACCAGTAACCATGATGTCTCTGATTGAATTCTTTTGTAACTTGTAAAGCGAAATGTCGTAAACTTTTCACAAACGCACCTGAATAGGTTATGAGACTAATAGGCATAATGATGTGTTAAAACAAACAAGAAAACAGATAACTTGTTGAAATATCCAAACAGCAGGAACAGGTAGCCCAGCTATTCAGGCATGGCTCAGTATCGATTACAATGGTGTAAGTGAATATACTCTTTGTCTTTCTTTAAACTACAAGATTAAAATTATATCATATATTTCTTTCTGTACCATATCTTTACATAAAATCTTTCCTTTATATATTACACCATTGAGTTAACTACTTCTATGAATCCGGTGTTCGTTTTGCTGTGCTAATGTGGTGTGGAAACTTGGACCGCTGCATATATGTGCCTGGTTGTACGTTGTAACTGACTGACTGACTTTAAATCAATTGAAAGTGGATCAATATCCGTTTAAGGATATCTCGAATTGTAGTTACGAATCTATATGTAATTTTGAAATCAAGCACATAAGAAGGACTGACAGAAAGGTACCTGGCTCTATAAGGTTTTCTGCATATATTCCTCGAAAGTTGTGTTTGAAAGGAATTTATTTATTTATTATTTATTTATTTTAACACATTGATATTGGTACAGGAAAGCACCAAATACATATGCGCCACATAGATCTCATTTGATATGTGTGAGGGCTGTGATACTACCCGGGTGCCCAGACCGAAACAGGTGGTTCTGTTAGGGGGCCACATCCAGAGCATTCAACCTAAAAGTCCGATCCACAAGACAGTGGAGCAACGTCAGGAGCCGATGACCAACGATTGGTTCATACGCTATTTTTTCCCTCAGGATACTGGAGCCCATGTGCACCATTGGTTTGGAATCAGGGTTTTCCAACTTCTATAGGTAAACTCTCCATGTTTACCATCCCGGTTAAAGCGACGGATATTCGCTTTTTGACCTCTCAATTTCGTAATCAACAGTAATGCCACGAGAAGGCAGTGAGTAGGACTTCCCTGAAAGAGGCTATATACGCGTGACCATGTGAGAGCATTTCGAGAGGGTGAGCGAACTCTCTTCACCCTCGGCCGTACCAGGGCATTTAGGGGCTCTGTTTACTGAATAATTAGGTGTTTTTGGTGAAGCTAGATAATATTCTCCTTTTCTAACTATTATTCCACATCTCAACCCTAAGTTTCACAAATTTGTTAACAGAAGAATGACAAAGTATTGATTTATAGTTGATTTCAGTTCATGATGAAAACCCTGACACAGATTTATAAACCTAACTCAAATGTGTGACCAAAACTTTATGGGGTGACAACCCTAACTTCTTGGTAGCCTAGCAAGGAGTGATGTCCAGTAAAATTCAACTGTTTCAAGATTCAGATAAATTTCAACATTCAAAATAAACAATTACTGCACAACATTATGAATTGACTAAAGTTAGATAATGTAAACGATTGTTTGAATCTTCAATGTTTGCCACAAAGCCTGAATATCCTGGCTTTCAATCCTTGGTAATGAGTGGGTGTTGAATGTGAACCATCATTGAGATATCTAATACCTCAACGTAACAACTGTTTAATGCTTTGATATTTTCACTAGTCATAAAACTACAGTCACTTAATGAAATAAATCTACAAAACAACGATCTCCTTTTTTCTACAATAAAAGTAGACGGAAAGAGAGAAACAATCAATCCCTTATCACCTTTTCTGCCTATATAACTTACCTCTCCATCATTAATGGTGATTCACTGACATTCGCTAAAGCGGCAACAATTGCGGCTATCACACGTCTTCCATTTGGACTAGCACTACCAATATCATCAGAATTCAGTAAATCTTGTCGATTGTTAATATTATTATTAGTAGTAGTAGTATTAATACTACGATTATTGTTGTTATAATTTAACAGAAGTGGATGGATTTGATTGTGGCCAATTTGTGATTTAAATGAATTATGTAAATTCGATGAAGAATATGATGAAAAATTTGATACAGTTGAAGCAGTATTACGTGCAACCATAATATCAACTAATTCTTGATCCATTTCACCTTCATCATCGTCATCATCATCAACATCTTCGTCAACATCACGATCATTGGTATTATGGTGTGTAGAAGAGAAATTGACATTTGTATTAGTTATTAATTGATATTTTTCTGAAATTTGTTTTTTTGGTGAATTATTTACTGTCATAGTTGTTGTAAATGATGAAAGACAATGTGAACCAGGATCATCATTTATATAATTTAAACTAGTAGAAATTAGTTCTGTTGAACTGGGACGACCAACTCTACTATGCACTGGGACTAGTAATGTACAAAAAACAAGAAATAAACACACAAATAATGAAATATGTAGACATTAGTAATGAAATTATAGCACAATTAATTAAGAGGCAAAAAATGATAACTTTTACGAATATGGACATAAACCAATAAAATGAAAAACAGCGAAGTTTCAGACTTTTCATTCCATAGTCAGCGGAGGTGGGACAATGTCTGTTATTCATAAGCTATGTTTAAAGTGAGCATATACGCACATTGATTGAAGTTTCCACAATGAAATGCAATTACTAAGACAACTGACAAAATAATCAATGCAGTAATAGTATCAGTAGTAGTACAAAACACTAACCATAGACAGTAATATTAAAGAGAACATTACGTCGCGGAGTAGAGTACAAAATAATCTTAAAAATCAAAGTCTAGGGAGGTAGACAAAGAAAGAATAAATACATCTGCGTGATTGTGACTTATTCTAACCTATCATCTCATTAAATGTTTTTAACTATTTGCTGGTTACAAGATAATTGCACTGATCACAATCACATGGTTTGCACTTACCAATATAGCTCAGTACAACAGTTAATGACTTCAGGAATTGATGCCACATCTTTGTCCGGTAGCCCAACTTACTCCTATATCAGTCAATATTGCATGTTCAGATAGGCGGTGGTATACCGTGCATGAAAAATCTCCCAAAACAACCCAATCACTGAAGATTCAGTATCTCATTAAACGACTTACCATCTGTTATAACCTTACTGAAAAAAAAACGGGATTAAACAAATTAAACCATTCAAACTCTGCCCTGGGAGTTGAAGAAGGAATTATGATGTCTCAGGATAACGGAAGTCACAACCAGAGCAGCAACTTATATAGGCACATAGAGCCCCCAAATGCCCTGGGACGGCCGAGAGTGGGAAGAGTCCGCTCACCCTCTCGAAATGCTCTCACATGGCCATGCGTATATAGCCTCTGTCAGGGAAGTCCTACTCACTGCCTTCTCGCGAGAGGGGTGTTGTTCAAGAAATTGAGAGGACGAAAAGAAAATATCCGTCTCTTTAACCGGATCCTTAACCAATGGTGCACATGGGCTCCAGTGTCCTGAGGGAACAAATGGCATATGAACCAATCGTTGGTCACCGGCTACCATGGGACTGCATCTCCTTACGATGCTCCACTGTCTTGTGGGTCAGACATTCAGGTCAAAGGCTCGGGGTGTGGCCCCCTAAAAAAACCACCTGCTTCGGTTTTGGCACCCGGGCAGTATCACAGCCCTCACACATATCAAATGAGATCTGTGTGGCGCATGTGTATTTGGTGCTTCCCTGTACCAATATCAATGTGTTAAAATAAATAATAATAGGCACATGGAACGTCCGGTCAATGTGAGAGACCAGTCAAATAGCAACGGAAATGAGGAGATAAAAATTGACAGTGCTCGGAATCAGAGAAACCCACTGGACCAAGCTGAACAGTGAAGGATAGATTCAGGAGATACTGCTGTAGTTTGATTGCAAATCTCATGGATCCAGGATCACCAAAGTATCATTCAAAACAAAGAAGGGAATCACACTGAATGTTATCCAATGTTATGCACTCAAAAATGATAACGACGACGATAAAGATCAGTCATACGAGAGGCTGCAATCGACCATAGCGAAGTGACCACGAAAAAACCTGAAAATTCTAATGGGAGACCTAAACGCCAAAGTTGGAATGGATAACACCGGGTCTGAAGATATCATGGGACGGCATGGAGTGACTGGGAGAAAGGAATGAGAGTGAGTGCGGATTCTCGGATTTATGTGCATTCAACAAAATGGTTATAGGTCGCACAATATTCCCCCACAAGCGCATACACAAAGCTGCGTGTGTCTCACCGGATCACACCACGGAGAACCAGATAGATCATGTTTGCATCAGTAAAAATTCAGAAGGTTGATGGAAGACATGAGAACCAGGAGAGGAGCTAACATAGCCTCAGATCATCATCTGGTTCTTGCCAAGATGAAAATGAAGCTAAAAAAGCATTGGACAACTGGACAAACAGCATTACAAAAGTTCAATTCAGCCTTCTTTCGACATACTGACAAACTCAACCAATTCAACATTACTATCAACAACAGGTTCCAAGCCTTACAAGATCCACTGAAAGAAGAAAATACTATGGGGGATAACTGGAAAGGGATCGAAGAAGCACTAAATTCAAAGAGTCAGGAGGTGCTGGGACGCAAGAAGTATCATCATAAGGAATAGATCTCTGTCGAAACCCTAGAGAAGATTCAAGAAAGGAAGAACAAGACAGAAATTAGCAACAGCCGAACAAAAACAGAGAAAGTCAAGGCGCAAGCTGAATACACAGAGGCAAACAAGCAAATGGTGAGGAGCATTAGAGCTGACATGCAGAAATATGTGGAAGATCTAGCAACGACAGAGGAAGTATGAAACAAATATATGAAACGACGAAGAAACTGGCAGACAAATATGGTAAATCAGAGAGACCGCTCAACGGCAAAGAAGGCAAACCAATGCCTGAGACTTAAGAATAGCGGAACAGGTGGGTAGAACACTTCAAAGAACTCTTAAATAGGCCAACCCCAGAGAACCAATCGAACATCGAAGCATAACACACAGAACTTTCTATAGGTCACTCCACCAACGATTGAGGAAATCAGACAAATCAAGGATGGGAAAGCAGCAAGACCTGATAATATAGAAGCTGAAGCACTTTAGTCAGACGCAGAAGTAACTGGTAAGATGCTTCACGTTCTATTCAGGAAGATTTGAGAGGAAGAACAAGTGCCGATAGACTGGAAAGAAAAACACCTCACTAATATACGAAAGAAAGGAGATCCGAGCAAATGTGAGAACTACAGAGGAATCATACTATATATGTATACAGGAAAAGATTTCAACAGTGTCATTGAACAGGATGAAAGATTCACTAGACGTCAAGCTTCGAGATCAACAGGCTGGATTCCGTAACGATCGATCGTGAACAGACCAAATTGAAACACTACGGATCATCGTTGAACAGTCAACTGAATGGAACTGGTCAATATACATGTAATTCATTGATTATGAGAAAGCATTCGACAGTGTGGATAGGAGGAATTTATGGAAGCTTCTTCGACACTATGGTGTACCTGAGAAAATCGTCAACATCATCCGGAATTCATACGACGGGCTACACTACAGTGTCGTGCATGGAGGACAGCTGACAGATGAATTCCAAGTGAGGGCCAAAGTCAGACAAGGATGCTTACTCCCACCCTTCTTTTTCTTCTGGTGGTTGATTGGATTATAAAGGCATCCACATCTGAAGAAAAGCACAGAATACAATTGACAACTCGAAACCAACTGGACGATTTGAACTCCGTAGATCATCTGGTCCTTCTATCCCATACATATGCACAAATGCAGGTGAAGACAACCAGTATAGCAGAAGCCTCTACAGCAGTAGGTCTTCACAAGCAAAAGGGAAAAAGCAAGATCATCAAATTTAACACAGAGAACATCAACCTCATTACATTTTGTGGGGAAGCTCCGGAAGATGTGCAATCTTTCACGTATCTGGGCCGCATCATCGATGAACAAGGAGGATTGGCCAAGTAAAGGTTGCATACCTAAAGTTGAAGAAAATATGCAACTCAATACAACTGTTAACCGACATCGAAGTCGCAATCTTCAATACGAACGTCAAGACAGTTCTACTGTATGGAGCTGAAACTACGAGAACTACTACAACCATCATCAGAAAGGTGGAAGTACTTCTAAACAATTGTCTACGCAAGATACACAATGTCCATTGGCCGGAAACCATCAGACTCATCCTACTGTAGGAGAGAACAAATCAATTTCCAACTGACGAGGAAATTAAGGGAAAACTATGGAAGCGGATAGGACAACACATTGAGGAAATCGCCAAACGGAATTGCGAGCCAAGAGCATGCCTGGAATTCTGGAGGGGAACCGGAAAGAGGAAAGCCAAATAACACACTATGTCAAAAATTAGAATTAGACACGAAAAGGATGAATAGCAACTGAAAACAACTGGAAAGGATTGTTTAGGACAGGATTGGATGGAGAATCCTGGCAGGTAACCTATGCTCCTTCACGAGCGGTAACAGGCATCAATAAGTAAGTAAGTTTCTCACACTTGACATCAACATAGAAAAGGGAAATCAGTAACGACAGTAGGAAAAGTGAGGTAGGGTTGAGTAAAAAGATGAAAAATTAGGAAAAACAATAAATGAAAATGAAGAACGAAACGTATGAAAGTTTAAAATCTTCAAAATTAAGAGTGAAATGAAGCATAAATAGGTTTTCGACAATAAGACTGAATTGAGTTTGAGCCATGTCATAGAAAGTTGATGAATAATGAGACAGTAAGAACGACATTTTCACCCATCCACCTATACAGCTTAAATCAATATTCGAGGAGTAGTCCCAAACGTTGTCCGACGTTATTTCAGTAAGTAACAAGTGGCTAGCAAATAAAATGTGCAGATGGGTTTTGAAGAAAATGTTCTTGCTCTGATACGTTATTCACGTACGCAATTATGTAATAAATCTTTCACAACTACAAATAACGAACATAAACACACATACAGAGATAGGTAGAGAAATTGTTAACCAATTATAATTTTCTTTTCATTTAAATAAAATAAACCAAAAACGTACCGAATGGTGATTTATGATGTACCATAAAGGTATTCGTTGTCGATTCTGCCGATGATGTTACAGGTGTTGTTGATAAACGTGAATGTGAATCATCAAAATTGCATAATCCAGTTGCTGTCGATGTTGTCATCATCGAGGTGGTGTTAGTTAAGGAATTTGATAAAGGATATGATAATAGATTTTCATCTAATGAACCATCTATAGTTGGTGTTCTAGCTTCAGGACGTTTTTTCGCCGGTTGCCGAGGTGTTGACTTTCCACTAGATGAGTAATTGGAACTATTCATCCAAGATATTGTTGTATTAATATTATTGTTATTAGTAGTTGTATTTATTGTATTGTTAACAGAAGATGGATATATATGTAAACCATTCACTGAACCACTATTGACTATCAATCCAAGATACGGTTGTGAACAAAGGAATGTGCCATCTTTATTTAAATTACAATGACGTTGTTGTTGTTGTTGCATGGTAGTACATGATTGAAGTAGAAATGGTGATGATGAATGATCGTCATCGCCGTCATCATCATCATATTCTTCTTCGCCTTCTTGGTGTTGTCGTCGAACTAATGATTGGTCAGAATGAAAATGATGATGATGAAGCATTGATTGATCTTGATCATTCTTAATAGGTCGTGATACCAGAGAGTTTGGAGAACTATGAGGTAATAGACTATTTGAAGTACACATAACCATAGAAGTCGTAGCAGTAGTATTACTAGTAATAGTATCGGTAGTAGTAGTAGTAGTGGTAATAGTATTAGTCATGACATTAGCACATTGAAGTGATCTAGATAAGGCAGAATTATCATGCATAGAAAATGTATAAAATGCACTTGAAGTATTATTGTTATTACTATTGGCACATGTCAAACTAACAGGATTATTTGAGATTAACGATGAAATATTCCCATTGGTTAATAATGTTGAATCAGATGGTCGACGAATTTGTGGATGAATTTGTGAAATTCGAGTATTATTATTATTAGTAGTAGTATTAGTATTAGTATTATTACTGTTACTACTACTAAATGGTATTCCGGATATAAGTGGAGGTGGACTTGATGAAGAATGTAAATGATATGAATTTTTTGCTGGTGATGATGGAAATGAACTAGGTGATACTGGTCTTGGTCGTTTTAAACTATAACGTTCAGATTTTAATAGAATTCCATTCTGATCTTTTGAATAAATCATCGAATCATTCTTATTAGATTGAATTGAATGATTTCTATTTGTAGAGCATATTAATGTTGAATGATTGAATTCATTTATTGAATTTTGATGATTTATAGGTGAATGTTGTTTAGTATAATTAATTGTATTGAATGGGAAATTATTGATTGTAGTTGCTATAGTTAATGATTCATGTAATGGATCTAATTTATGAGATTTATGATAACCATAGGATATATATGAATTTGGCTAAGATTATAGAATGAAAAAAATAAACAGTAATAATGATAAATTTCATGTAAAATGTTAATTTATAAAATGAGATCAAGTTTTAGTTATTCAATATGATAATATTAAGATCAAATTATTGATTGAGTACTATTGTGATGTGAGTTACTTATATCCACATAAGTAGTATAAAACGATGGTTAATAATAGAATGTATTTTAGTAGAAGATCAATAAGGAAAGAACGGGAACGGAACGCAATTGGTATGAACATGCATGGAAAATGAAATCTGAGACAATGGACTGATATTTGCAAAAAAAACAGTTAAGTTTGAGATCCGAGATTGATATGTCTTGTCGTCGCATACATCAATATGCAGTGTACACTGACGAAGAAATCTCGCAATTATAAAACCAAGATATAGCGTCAGTCTGTGTAATTATTCACGGTTCGCGTGTCCAAACTGTCTTATTTATTTAAACAGATAAATATTCGTACAAGCAGACACCAAACAGATATGCGCCACATAAATCATTCGATTTGTGTGAGCTCTGGGATACTGTCCGGGTGTCCAAACCGAAGCAGGTGGTTTTCTTATGGGGCCGCACTCAAAGCCTTTGGCCTAAAAGTCTAATGCACAAGACAGTGGAGCAACGTCAGGAGATACAGTCCCATGGTATCCGGTCACCAACAATTGACTCATATGCTATTTCTTCCCTCATGAAACTAGAGTCCATGTGCACCATTGATTTAGAATCAGGATTTTCAAACTTCTCTAGGTGCATCGTCCGTGTCCATCAACCCGATTAAAGAGACGGACATTTTCTTTTCGTGCTCTCAATTTCGTAAACAATACCCCTGCCACGAGAAGGCAATGAGTAGGACATCCCTGATAGTGGTTGTATGCATGTGGCCATGTGAGACCATTTCGAGAGACCGAGAGAGAGTTGACTCTCCTCACTCTCGGTCGTATCAGGGCTCTTGGGTGCCTAAACTATCTACCGTGATTAGTAATTGAAAACATTAACTGATATAACTAATACTTGGTTTCAACATCGTAGATGCATTGGTTTTAATTTACAACATGAAAATTTTTAATCTTATTCTACATATTACAAACTATTGTTGATTACACAAAGATGGATAGTGGCTAGCAGTGGAATCCAGTTTGACTTGCGTTTCGTCCTATTTGAGACTCTTCAGCTAGATGTACCTGAATCTCAGAGTTAATGTTCAATCTGGGACTCAAACCCAGTACCATTCACTTCAAACGCCATCACGTTATCCACACAGCTATTGAGTCCTAATAGCCATTTACTTGTACAATAGAATGAATTTAAATTCACTTGGTATTATTTGGCTTTTATCTTCTCATTGAGTTTTTAAATCTGTAATTGATCAGTCTGTTTATTGGTATATATACATACTGTGAGTATTGCCTTGATATTGCCTTCATTCACAAGTTGTTGTTGTAATAAGCAATGATGGATTACGTAATGAAAATTATCATATGTGATAAAATAACAAATAATCAACTATCATATACAAAATGAAATCTAAGGATACATATTTATCAAATTATTGTTTATTAAGAAAATAATAATGAATAATTTACAAACAAAATAAACAAACAAAATATTTTTTTTGTTTTTTAGTTTGTTTTGTTTTTAAAAGAAAAAGAAAAAGAAAAAGAAGAGAGAAAAAAGAGAAATAGAAATTCCAGACAAAAACCTTGAACTTATCTAATATTATATATAGTTGAAATTAGTATATAGTCAATAAGTTAATTAATAATAGCTAATAGTAAACTGTAGAAATTTGATCAGCTTATTGTTTTGTTTTTCTTTTTAATAAACAGGAGCATAAAATTATTATTATTATTATTATTATTATTATTATATTCTTACTGACAACAATGTGTTTTATAACAAATTATACGAATATGTGTATTTAAGATCCTTGATAAACCAATAGTACAAAATCAACTAGATAGTTAGTCAGTTACAACGTAGAACCAGGCACATATATACATCAATCCAAATTGTCATACCTCATTAGCACAGCAAGATGAACACCGGATTCATAGAAGTACTTAATTCAATGGTGGTAATATATAAAAGAATAATTGCATATAAGGATATAGTACAGGAAGAAAGAATTAGTTGGTAGAAAGAAAGACATAAAGCGATTTTAATCTCATAGTTTAAGGGAAGACAGAGAGTGTATACATCTACGCCATTGTGATCGATTCTGAGCCATTTCACCTAGAGTCTCCAATCATTGGTTACGATAGTCACGTGGACCCCAACTAAGTAGTTTGAATCTACCAACATGGCTCAGAAATTAGTGAAGTTAGTGACTTCAATGACTGATGCCACGTTTAGGTTTGGCCGCCCCTAACATTCTTCCAACTATCCCCTACATTAGTCAACATTGAGCGTCGTAGTAATCGGTGTTAAGGCATACGTAACACGTGGCCCAATCATCTCATTCTATGAAGATTCCCAACCTCATCAATTGATTTATCATCATTCCATACTACCCTGCGTCTGACCTCGCTATTACTTACTTGATGATCCCAGATGCAAGTGTAAATTAACTCCAAGATACTAAAAAGGAGAATGGTTTGTAAATCAAAAGTATATAATATATATAAAAATAACTATATATGACTGGAACAAGATTGTCTGACTTCTCTATCATCGTTCGAGTGGGAGACTATCATTGAAGTGTCGTGCATCGGCTGTCCAGTCTATCTAGTTTGAACATAACCCGTCTTCATATTGGACAGATCTTACAACCTTTTACAAACGGAATTTACCGTAAACTATCTCAAAAGTTAATAGAAGACGTACTTCATGCTAGTCGGAACTTATTACACCACTAAGGTGTGCGTGAGATTCAAGACCAATTTACATGCTTCTCGCTGAAGAAGCCCGACTATAACGTAATCTGGTTATTACTATTTTCGTGTTAACCGACTCCGACGAGATAGTATATATTAATATGAAGAATATGTTTATTATATTTCAAAATCCTACTACTACTTTACATTACAGAAAATAAAATATGGTGATGAATAACAAATATACCACTGAGTGCTGGTAATCATAACGAACTAACAGTAAGTACTGAACTACTGAATATATATAAATATATATATATATATATATATATATATATATATATATATATATATATATATATATAACAGCTTATAATACATGAACGCTTACAAATGAATTGGCGCGGTTCAAATTCATTGATCCTGTTGTTATTGTTGTTGTCATTGTCGTTGTAGTTTCAGATTTCTGTAAAGCATCTTTAATAACTGGAACCAGATCGATTAAGTCACGATCAGATGCACTTAAAGTAAGCTTAGATATAGACTCATTGGCAGGATTTAGGTTTTCTAAAGAAAAAGAAAAGGAGGTCAATAATATTAGAAAAAAGGAAACATGAAATTCACATTAAATTATTGTTAGCCATTCAATTATAAACAACGTAGAACCTGACAAAAATATGCAACGCTTTATTTTTCTAAGATCTAGTGAATAATTATGAGTAGATGCATTTACGCCATTGTAATCGATTTTCATTGATGTAACACAATATACCTGCAACCAATGATCGCACTTTTTACTCAGAAATGAAACAGATAGTCTGTACCTATCAACATGTATCACATCAGCGATTAACGATCTCATGGAATGAGACTACATTTCCACTTGGCTGCTCTTAATTTTTTCCAACCTACCACTGAGGTAGTAGGCATCGTGTGCGAAGGTAGGCATTATTATACAAACATAACATCGGTCGATGAAAATTCACTAACTCATCAAAGAAAGTGCCACCTTTGCTAAGTACTCTATGCCTAAAGTCAATATTCCTCACTCATTCATTCAAAGATACGCAAGCAATGCTTTGAAGAGACTCATGGTCGAAAACCTTTTGCGTTTCACAACCACAAACTAGAATAGGGTTTGTAGAGGGATATCTTGTCTATAACATAAGTGACACTAATTGGCAAAGGCCAAGACTTCTGAATCCGTGACTAGATTTTGTCAGACACCAAATTACTAAGGCTGATATGACTTCCGTGTTAAGTGAAGTAGTTAACATGTTCAACATAGGGGAGATGTTGAGGCTCGTCTCTAGTTACACAACTCAGGACAGCAACACAAGTGAATAAAACGGCTTGACTTTAGTTGGTGGATGCTACATTGAAGTATTGATCAAGACGACCTATGATGAAGATCCAATAGAATTATATTCAGTCAGTCAGTAACAACGTGGAACTTCGTTCGAGTTGTCATACCACATTAACACAAACACACAATTGTCGATTCAAATCACATAGTGGTAGAGATAGTAAAAGTATAAGTAGTAATCAGAAAGATACGGTCTGAAGATGTTATTCAAGCATCATAATACAGTGAAATAAATTTGGAAAAATAAAAAAAGGACACAAAGAATCCAGAAGATTAGAATTTGGGAGAACACAGAGAGTGGATGCACCTGCGCCATCGCAAACAATTTTGAACCATGTCATTCAAGATCTCTAACCATCTGTTGCTATCGTCTCCCGGATTCCAACCAGGTAGTCTACACCTATCAACATGGCTCAGTCCACTTGTCAGTGACTTCATAGATTTGTGCCATGTTTTGGTCTGGCCGCCTCTACCTTTCTTCCAACCTACTGATACACCATAAAACATCACTCTTCAGGGCAGTCGGTGGTTGAGCATACGTAACATATGTCCCAGCCATCTCAACTGATCAAGTTTCATTACTTCATCAATTGATTTGCCATCCTTACCTAGTACTTGTTTCCTAACAACTGCGTTACTTACTCGATGGTCCCAATAGAATTATATTAGCTGGAAAACTTGTTTTATAAGATCCTATTATCTTAGAAAGATGGGCTGCATTGCAGTAAGATTAAAAAGTAGCAAGTCACGGGTTTAAAAATAAAACTTTACAACGTTAAATATCTTAGCGAAGACGTTCTTTCATAAGCAAAGTGTTAGTAAAATCCGGCCATATAAAATAGTACCACATTTGATGCCATGAATTTTTCATACTGAAACTAACACAGAAAATAATCACCGACATAATGAATGTGGGTTATCGGGCCTTAGAAGATATCTTTTTGACTTTGTGATCACTCTACTAAGCTGATAGGGCTATCGGAACTCAACTTTATCGGTAGTTTCCATTTGGTAAATGTAAATACAATCAATCCTTTTTAACGAAGGACCTGGTACATATATACAGTGGTCTGAATTATCATATTAGATTAGCAGTACAGCACGATGACATTATTAAGATGACTAACAAAGGGCCGATATAAGCAGTTGTATCAATGAAGGTATAAAAAATTATTCAGAAAGAAAATGCAAGATTTCAGGTAACATAAGGAACAAGACCATCAACACATCATCATAACACCTCTAACCATCAATAACATGATAATTGTGCAGACCCCAACTAGGGGAAGTCATACTCGCTACATTCTGGTGGCATTACTGTTGTTTACGAAATTGAGAGGACGAAAAGCGAATATTCGGCGCTACAACCAGATTGGTGGACACGTAGGGTTCATCTACGTGAGTTGAAAACCCTGATTCCAAACCAGTAGTGCTGCAGGATTATGAAGAAGCAAACCAATTGTCGGTCCCCGGCTACCATGGGAATGCATCGCCTGACGCTGCTGCACTACCTTGTGGATTAGACTATTAAATCGAAGGCTCCGGGTGTGGCCCCCTGAGAAAATCACCTCCTTCGGTTTGAGCACCCGGGCAGCATCACAGCCCACACAAAAGTCAAGTGACTTATGTGGCGCATATGTATTCGATGGCCCATTGTATCAAGATTTGTGTTCACATAAATAATAAAATAAATAAACAACAGTCAATAGATTAATTTAGATTCCCGGTTGAGAGCCCTGAACAAGCACTTCTAAGGAGTCCCACACTAGGACGAAACAGCCATTCAGTGCATCTAGTTTTTAAATGGTTAATTAACTTAGATCAATTTTCGATATGAATAAAATAAATTAATACTTCACATGTAATATCTTTTTCAAGATACCCAACATCCATTAGCCGGATACCGTCAGCAACAGCCTACTGTGAGAGAGAACAAACCAGCTTCCAGATGAAGAGAAAATTATGAAATGATGATAGAAATGGATAGGACATACATTACGCAAATCATCAAACTGCATCACGAGGCAAGCACTAACTTTGAATTCTGAAGGGAAGCATAAAAGTGGAAGGCTTAAGAACACATTACCTTGGGAAATAGAAGCAGATATGAAAAAGATGAATAACAACTGGAAAGAGCTGGAAAGGGTTGAACAGGACAGAGTTGGGATGGTGAGTGCTGGTGGGCGACCTATGCTTCTCCTTGAGTAACAGGTGTATTTAAAGTAAGTAAGTAAATGTCATCTTCATGTTACATTCCATGCAATGTATTATTTCGTTTGAAAACTTTCAATCATATTTTATTCGATGTACACTAACAGTCATTTACAATTGATGAAAATCTTAGAAATAGAATGATTTTTTTTTTAATTTTATTTTGAAAGAAAACAGGACAAAACTTGTTACATTACAATTTTCCTGTCCAAAATGTATACACAACTTCCTTTTTTTTATATCATACCATCATTATCAGCGACCGAACTAAAGAGAGTTGTGTGTGTGAGGGGGAGGATAGAGAGAGAGAAAGGAATATTGGAAATCTGAGAAGTTAGACATGACCATAATTCAGTCACGGTATATATGCATATAATCAAAATAAATAAATATTTATTTATTTATTTAAGAATTATGACAAACAAAATTAAAAACAAATAAAGCATAACGTAGCTGAATAAGTACTATACAGAAAAAATAAATTGACCGGATTGGGGGGAGATACCGTAAAGAAATCGCTCTCCCTTCACACACATACATACACAGATGAAAAGATACAAACAATATTTATTTGTTTTTAACTTCATATGGTTGACAATTTTGAGAAATAACTAGTAATACCACATTGAAATATGACTTTACCATAAAGATCAAACAGTTAAACTCAACATCTTACCAGAAAGATGTAATCGTATAATCAGTTGACACGAGAGAAAAACAACTGATTGCAGCTACCTCTATACACGAAAATCATGAAAATCGCTTATGTAACATACAGGATATGGGTTTCCTTGTCACACCTCCAAAAAACAGGACACATCTATGTAAACAATCCATGGTTCTGCCCATCGATATACATACATAGTACTTAACCTTTCGTCTTGTTTTTATTACACCATTTCACAGACAAACAAAGTTCAAATAGACACTTAGGAAAGAGAGCTACATGCACATACACACACACACACACAAGCAACAACTTTTGTCAACAACGAAACAGAGAGGATTTCTTGAGTGAACTACAATAATGAGATGTGTGTTGTTATTGTCAAATTATAGAATCTCCTCCAATTGATATTTTAATTCTGTGTTATTTATTTATTTTATTTTATTTGAATACATAAATATTGGTACAAGGGGACACCAGATATATATGCGCCACACAACAATGAGAACGAGAAGAGAAAGAAGAATATAAGATGCGTATAAGAAGAAAATGAAAAGAGAAGAACAGATTAATGTAAGGTAGTGTAATAATAATAATAAAAACAATGGGGGAAACAGAAAGGTACAACCGGAAGAGTTCTTTTAGTTAAGGAAGATATAACCACTTTTTGAGGAAAGTAAAAGAAGGTTACAGCAAGATCACCACTGTATTCTATTCTGAGCCATAACTGATAACGTCTCTAGCCACTGTGTTACACCGTCTCTCGGATCCCAGCCAGAAAGTCGTGAAGGACCAACAGAAGCCAGTCCTTTGCAGCTTTCTTTCATACGAAATAGAATGAAATGATGATATTTACGGAATATATATATATATATATATATATATATATATATATATATATATATATATATATATATATATATAAGAAAAGATCATCAAAGTCAATCAGGAAATGTCTAAACTCATCCTATATGAAAGGATACATCAAGAACAATCAATAATATGTAATTATTGAATAGGAAATGGGAAATAATACAAAAACTTTGAGATTTAGTGAAATATTAGAAAGAAAAAGTGAATATATGTGAGTTCAAAATTAGATCAATGGATTGAAGAACAGTCGTACCTCAAATTTATCCAGAAGAATATATGTAAGCTGGGAGTGAGTGTGAAAAGGTCACTTTCAGTGAATTTGAAAAAAAAACATTCAGGTCTTGTAACCAGTACAACATTATTTGAACACACTGAGTGTGAATCCCATGGGTCAACCATTCTGCAATTTTACATACTTATTATCATTTGTCATTTTGCTGGGCAACATGGAGTGGTAGCTCAGTAGTTAAGAGGTGTGACTCTCGAGGACTAAATTTCAAGTTTGAGCTCTATCTCACCTAGTTTGGTTTGGGAGACTGGGTAGTATCACTAGCCCTTTTATCTAAACTTCGTGAATCCGATCTCGACTTTTGTCACTTTTCAATCCACTGAGAGTTATCTATGATACTCTACAAAATACACCGTAAACCGATTAAAATGTCTTCATTGTATACCTTATTTGATTATATAAGAACTAATAAAAAAAAGTAGCACGAAACCCACCACTTCTATATTGTTGGAGTTGTTCGATAGAAAAAGGTCCAAATACATCCACATATTCATCCGGTACTACATTAAAATTAAAACAAAAGTTGGAATACATAAAAAGTGGAATAGAATGAGAAATGATTATAAAACAGATTGTATAATAGACACTTAATCATCTACAATTGATTAATAACTGAGTAATGACCAATGTCATGTTTGCCGAGTTCTTCTTAGTGATAAATGAATTCAACCAATCTATTTGTAATGTGGTCACTAGTCTAAGTGACTCGATAGTGAGTGGACTATGTTAAGACGTTAGTCGGTTGGAGGCAGTTGGTAAGAATCACTAGACCTAGGAGGCCATCTGTAGCCTGTATAGCGTCTCTGGTTACGAGGAAGGGTTAGGCGGGTCCGAATTCTACATAAAGCATCGATCACCTTGATATGGCAAGTACAAATTGCTGACAAGTGTCGACTGGCACGATCAGTAATAGTAAAAGAAATATGGATACATAGCTGGAGTGTACCTGTAATCGTGAGAAAACTGATGCTCCCCGACGGATTCGACCCTGTGTCAACTTACGTTCACGGTTTCCTGTTGACTACCTCCAACCACCATCTCGTCTCAAAATAGTGCACACGATGTTGAGTCACCTAGACTAGTGGCCACATTGAAACTTCATCTAAATAATTCGATCTGCACTAATAAGGGCTTAACACACATGACATTCATCACTATCCAATGATCAATCAATTGTAGAGTGCATGTGTGGTAAATGGAATAAAACATAAAATTAAAATAAACCCTGGTACATGAAGGTAATGGGTAGGTCTTCGCTGGCAGAAAGGCTATAAACGCGTAACCGTACGAAAACAGTTCGATGAGACAAGCGAACTTTCCTCACCCTCGACAGCACCAAGGCATTTTGGGGAAAAAACTACTTTTCCATGGAGAAATCCCAGTCATATTGTCTAATATTTCTCCAGTTTAATTGATTATTTCGGTTAGAAAGTTTATAATTTCTTACAAATGTATTTGTATCACTATCCCACTAGAACTGATGATTGTGCAATGCACTGAATAAAAAGTTACTACTAACGATCTGGGTAGAGATTTAGTCCGGTATCTGAACAGACATTTTGTGTTTCCATGACGAAAAACACAGATCAGTTTCATTGTGTTTTTAAAAAAATATTTTGTCAGTGTCTTAACTAGAATAAGTTCTATAGGTTGGTGAGAGACTTTAAGTAGCAAACCAATTTCTGAAAAAATAGACGAAGAAACATTTAAGTGTAGGGGTAAATTTACGACAGAGATTAAATAAAAACAGCGGGAAGCAGATACTGATGAACGTTACTTTTTGCAATGAAGACTGATGAGGTTTTCATAAGCGATGCTTCGGTTTGGGCACCCGGGCAGTATCACAGCCCTCACAAATCAAATGAGATTTGTGTGGCGCATATATATTTGGTGCCTCCTTGTACCACTATCTATGTGTTCACATAAATAATCATTAATCTGCAGTTCTTACTATAACAAAGTCATAATCAAAATTCACTCAGGAAGTACAGGCTTATATTCTGAGCTTTGAGCCCATTTGTATTGAAACAGATAATATTACTCAGCTGCCTAAACCAAGGCAAGTGCGAAACCCGAGTACTCTACCAACCAGTAAACCAGTGATTTTCCTGCTACGGGATCATGAACGAAAACTGTATTGTAAAATATAATTCATTGGAAATTTTAAATAATCAGACTATACATCTTGAACCAAAACACAACAAAATTTAGTGTAAAAAAATCATTTCTAATATCTGATAATCAGTAAACTATTAACACAAACTGTTAATAAACACAGAACTACTACTAACCGTTAGGAGCAATCCCTTCAGAATTGGCAGCAATCGACGGTGGAATAATGGTGTAACCTGCTTGAGCCAATGCTTTTAAAACCACAACAAGAGCTACCGAACTAGCTCTGAATCGAATATGCTGTGGTCGAACGCATAATTCATGATCACATGTATGCACCATGATGTTGGTATCGGTACTTGACATTGGTAAACCATGATACAGCATACCAACAATTGTATCTAATCTCCAAACCTAAAAATAGGAATACAATCTCTAGACGTCCATAGATAAATAACACAAATTAGTAACAAATGAATACTTTTATTGGTTGAAATCATGAGTCAATTGAAGCTAGACCACCATGGAAAACTTGGAAGCACTAGACGGCTGTTTCGTCCTAGTATGGAACTCCTCAGCAGCGCGCATCCACGACCCCGCCCCCTGCGAGATTCGAACCCAGAACCTATCAGTCTCGCGCGCGAGAGCCTAACCATTAGACCACTGAGACGGCCGGCATCCAACGCTGTTAATATCTAACTTCAACCACTGCTGAGGAGTCTCATACTAATACGAAACGGCCGTCCAATGCTTCCAGGTTTTCCATGGTAGTCTAGCTTCAATTGACTCATGATTTCAACCAGTGAAGTTTCTAAAATTTCTACAAAACCCCTTCTGGGAATACTTTTATTAAAGCATGAAAATTGTATTTATGCTTGAATCTTTAGAACTGAAATTAAACAACACCGAGGTTATTTTACTAGTTTTTAGTTTGATTTTCTTTACGGAAACAATCAGGATGAAAGGTTATCAAACTTAAATAAGGTCACACAACAACTATGTACAAAAGGACTGTTCAGTCATGTTCAGATATTAAACACAATTTCCTATCATTTGATATAAAATTTTACAAATACAATATATAACTTTGAAAGGATGGAGAATTTAATTTTAGTTGGATAGTTATGGCGTTGTTGAGCTTTATTAAGCTCGATACTTTAATTGAATAGTTTTCACTGTTGTTCTGGACAACTTTATCTGCAAGTGGGTACCAAAAACATATGCGCCACACAATAACAATGAGACCAGTAGCAGATATCACTGATTGTACGAAGGCTGTGAAACGGCCAGTATGCCCAAACCGAAGCAGGTGATTTTCTCAGGGGGTCACACCCAGAGCCTTCGACCTAAAGATCTAATCCGCAAGGCAGTGGAGCAACGTCAGGAGATGCAGTCCCATGGTAACCGGTCACCAACAATAGGTTCATAGGCCATTTGTTCCCTCAAGATACTGGAGTCCATGTGCACCATTGGTTTGCAATCAGGGTTTCCCAACTCCCCTAGGTGGAGAGTTTATGTCCACCAACCCGGTTGAAGCGACGCACATTCGCTTTCGTCCCCTCAATTTTGTAAACAACAGTGATGCCACGAGAAGGCAATGAGTAGGACTTCCCTGGCAGTGTCTGTACACGCATGGTCATGTGATAGAATTCCGAGAGGGAGAGCGGACTTTCCCTACACTCGGATGTACCAGGGCATTTGCACCTAGTTGGTTCAAGGAGTTTACAAAATTTGACACGACTCATTCTAGCGATCAGTCAGTGACTGACAGGTCATCGATTGATGATCTACAAAACTCTGTCCTAAACTTGCTTAAAACTTAAATGACCCTTTATCACGTTTACGCTCAGGTTTAGTATTTGGCACATGTGTCAATTTATTAAAAATAAAATTTTTGTTCGATAATTGTACTGTCTTTAGATCATATGTTTGTTTGAGGCCTGAATTAGTGTTTCGATTTCGTGTGCACTGTATCGCCACGCACTCTTCATAGACCCCGAATGCGCTGTAAAAGTCGAGGACGGGGAGAGTCCGCTCTAGCTCTCCAAATGCTCTCATTATGACCATGTGTATATACCCACAGACAGAAAAATTCAACTCACTCCCTAAGAGGACGAAAAGAGAATGTTCGACGACTAAACCAGGTCGGTGGGTACGGAGGATCCACCTACGGAAGTTGGAAAACCCTGATTCCAAATCAATGGTGTACACGGGCTCCACGATTCTGAGGGAACAAATGGTGAATGAACTCATTCTTGTTCACCAGCTAACATGGATCAACATCTAACATTGCTTCACTGTCTTGTGGATTATACGTCTAGGTCAAAGGCTCGGGGAGTGGCTCCCTAAGAAAACCATCTGTTTCAGTTTGAGGGAACGTGCAGTATTCTAACCCTCACACAAATTTTGTGTAGCGCATATGTATTTTGGTGTCTCTTTGTACCAATGTTAGTGTTTAAATAAATAACTTAATAGTTGAATTTATGTCAATTAAAGCTAGATGATCATAGAGAATCTGGAAGCGCTGGATGGTCGTTCCGTGCTAGTATGGGACTCCTCAGCAGTGCGCGTCCACGATACAAACCACTGGAAACCTGGAAGCACCAGATGAGTTTCCTCCTAGAATGAGATCCCATATTGATAATCACCGTGTGCTCAACTATCTTCGAGAGGAAATTTTGAGGTTCTAGGGAAAAGTGTTGACTAGTGGAGTTTGAGAGGGGTACCCACAGAAGACAATGGCGCAATATCGTGGAAAGATTAGTTAGAACTGTATACCATGAAATACCGGCTCAGTGGTTTAAAGGTTAAGCGTTCGCGCACGAGACCGGAAGTCTTGAGTCTGATTCCCGGTGCCGATTTCACGGATGTGAACTGCTGAGTATTGTCTGGTGGTTATGTTATGCTGTAAAATTACTTGGCCAACACCCTTGGGATAATCATAGAATAAAATTGAATTAAATCCTACAATTATGTAAAAGCAAGACCCACAAAATCATCCCAGTAAACGGTAGAAACTGAGATCTATCGAGTGAGTATGGACTTTAAATGATTAATAATTAAATTAAATCATTCTCCAGGTACTTAGATATTATTCACACTGTGTGAAGGATACTACTACCAGGTGCGTAAACGGAAGTGGAGTAGGATTTGAATCGGAGACTTAGTGGCTGAAAGTCGAACATTTTAGCCACTAAGACACTGTCCACATACAAAAAAGATATAAAGCATACCTTATCAGAACCTTTGCCACCATCAATGCGTCGCATACGACCTTTAGCATCACCACGACTTATAACACAAGAATGTGGATCATTTAAAGTATCTTCACTTCCAAGCCAACATTTAAGAAACCAAAATACTGAGTCACTGGGCAACTCTTTATACAACTTCTTGAGTAAATTTGATACAGCGTCAGTTTCACTTCCAGCATTCATTTCCTAAAAAAGCATGCAATTAATGAAAGTTAAGCTTTATGTTTCGAATATTCTCCCAGTGATCAATGGAAAAAAATCCATTAAATCAAATATCGTTCTTTCCTGAATGTAAATGTCACTATAACATAGTGCTGAGTTATTGACTGGAACAATTATTTTTCATGATCCTATCAAACCAGACAGGTCAGTTGGATAGCAGTAGGACGGACGACTTCAGACCAAATAAGACATAATAGCAAATCACCGAGTCATCATCACTGCTCGAGTAACAGGAATACGTCAAAAAATTAACTAAATAAAGACTATTAAATCTTTAGTATTATGTTCTAAACTGGATATTTGGATTTATGCGCAAGGTTTGAACGGCAGAAACCAATGCGTTATCTAAGTAGCTTTGACTGATTTTGAAAATCATATCAAAATTATCGATGATGACAAAATCAATTCAGCATTGCTTACATAATATACTCACAGGTGTAGAGACCATAGAAATGCTCCACTTTGCTCATGGTAGTTATGTAACCCAACCATTGTTTACGTCATTTTCTAAATATATTTCCCCTCTCCGGGTGTTGAATGCTTGAGTCCGGCCCTGCATTGTTCATTTCCATAGGACTAATTACCAGGTCATTATTCAAATAGTACGTGAATGACCTAGTCAACCCAGAAACGGTCCTTCGTTTATTGATTGATATTGAAGATAAACTTTTGACTCACTATTCAGTGAAACAATCAGAACGTCGTTTTCACAAGTTTTGGTCTACTGTCACACAGTTTATCACATAGCACATTGCAGTTATACATAGACATCACTAGGTATTCGATGTGTCTAGTGTATTATGAAGCAAAATTTTCCTTATCAACTGGCTCTATCAGCTTTACTCATTGATTAAGTACATTATTTACTTACTTAAGTTACCCCTCGTGGGAGAGCATAGGCCACCCACCAGCAGATAACGTACATAGGAAAGAATTATTCATAAGTTCCTTAAGTTAAGTGCTATTGAAAGGATAGACAGAAAAGACTTATTGCGAAAACGTTTTTCGTAGCAAACTTAAATAGGCATGACTACAAAAAATCAGTGTTCTAGATCCTACCATAATAACTCAATTAGAGGTTTGAGGCTGAAAGCAAAGAGAACGTATTGTGTGATGAACAACTGTTTCACTCAGATCCAGAGGGATTTAAGGAGCTAATTCCCACAGTTTTCTTCTTACAACAAGGTATTTTATGGCATTTTCAATCAACACAAACAATAACAAATCAAATATTGAATAGAGAATGAATTCCTCTAAGCTGAGACTCTAAACTATACAGACTAAGCTAGGTAATAACTACTGACTGCAAAAAGTGAAAATAGCTTACTAAAAATAAATACGACAATATCGCCCATCGGTGTGGTTAGGTTGAATTCGTCAGTTGAATCCCACATCCGTAGACCAGTTCCCTCAACCACAGATAAATTACAGGTAGCAAAATTTAGTAATGAGCTCTATTTCATATTGAAAGTGTTTAGTACAACTTCAAAGTAGTAATAGTAGCATATTTTAGAGTCGGCATTGAGGTCACTAACAAATTCCGGCCGAGGTAAAAACGAGATGCCTTAAGTTGTGAGCCACTTAGTAATGATACAAAAGAAACCATTAAACACGCAACTCAAGTGTTAGTGCCACATAGAAAAAATTGTGACCGAAATGGTTCAAACTATTCATTACAAGGCTGAGTACATAAATGTATGTAGTCTTGATGAATAGGGACCACAAGAATGGTATCTTTTAAATCCAGCAGTAAAAGTAGATTACAATACGTAAATGAACCTCACATATCACCTGTTGGTAAAAAAGCGACTACACATGCATATAGTAAATGCTCACCCCGATCTTTAGTGCTATGAGACTCCAATCACTTTGGCTCTGACCACTGTTACATGCCATACGACGGTTTTCTTCCCGATTGCGTTCACGCATTGATGAAACACCACGAAACCATAGAGGAGCAATGCGCTTGCAACGTCCAATTAAGGCCCGAACAAACAATGCTTCACTAGGCTTGGCAGCTGCATGTACAGGGAATTTATGTGAGCATTCGTTTGGGACATTCGGGACCTGAAATTCTGAACTGAGAGAAGGTAGAGATGACTGCGCAGAAAAAACATTTGATGACTCCTCGGCACAATGGACAGATAAAGGCTTTGTGTTTGAGTCTGTAGAACTAGAAAGTGAATTGTGATTGCTCTTATCTGATTCTGAATAAAATTCAGCTTTTGTTTGGGATGACAAACATACTGTTGCCGAAGTATCCAATTTATCGGAGTCATTAAGCGGAAAACCAACTGAAGGTATACGGATAGAGTTTGAGTTTGGAAATGAATCATCTTGGAGAACAGTACACGAAGGACTTAACTGATTATTACCGGGATTGTGAATAGAGAGAGGATATATCACTCCAGTGGACAGATTACTAAACAATGGTTCAGGTTTCACATTTATATTATTAGGCTCCATGCAGTTTATAAATTAGAAATCCCATCCATGCCAGCAGTATGACCACTAAAACATTAACGTGAAGACCAGGCCCAAAAAACGTCTGTTCAAAATTGCACACAGCCTAAAGTTTCATACGCGCTCTCTACCACTAAAACCTCTGTTGTTTAAAATACTTTTACTTACGCTAAAAGTCTGTAATTACACTAAAACCTTTAAGTAAAATTCTGTCGCCCTTGGTTAAATGATAATATGCTAAGTTATGCTTTCTCGCGGTGTATTCAGATATAAACGTAACGTTACTTAGTGTATGGATCCGCTGCAAGTAAAACTTTATAACAATCCTACAGATGTACACGGAGATTATAAACATCATACTATGATGCCAATATGCACAGGGACATCTGTTATTGGCATTAAATACAAAAATGGGGTTGTTCTGGCTGCCGATATGTTAGTTTCATATGGCTCCCTAGCCAAATATATGGATTTCGAACGCATGTTTAAGGTAAATAAGGTGTTTTTCTCCTAAACGAACTTCAACAGGTAAATCAAAGCACAGTTTTGTGCTGCAGTGGAGATATGGCAGACTTTCAGTTTCTCAAACATCACATTGAGGAGCTGACACATCAAGACAGTCTCCTTTCCGACGGCTTTAGGCTGAGGTGTGTATATTGGCTTTTATGACTACTTTTGGCTTTAGCCCTCATGCTCTCCACAGCTGGATTACACGTGTTCTATATAACCGTCGAAGTCGTCTGCAACCATTGTGGAACACCTATTTAGTTGGAGGTTTGGAAGCAAATGGCGAGCCTTTCGTTGGGTATTGCAGTATGCTTGGTGTTTGTGAGTCACGTCCTATATGAACGTAATGTAATTTTAAACTACTTTATTTGCTCGAAAAACTTTTCCACTCCAACGCCCTATCTATCTTTCCCGTTTATTATTATTTATTTATTTAACATATAGGTATTGGTACAAGGAGGCACCAAATACATATGCGCCACACAAATCTCAATTGATTTGTGTGAGGGCTGTGATACTGCTCGGGTGCCCAAACCGAACCAGGTGGTTTTCTTAGGGGGCCACACCCTGAGCATTCGACCTGAACGTCTGACCCACAAGGCAGTGGAGCATCGTGAGGAGATGCAGTCCCATGGTAGTCGGTGACCAACGATTGGTTCATACGCCATTCGATCCTTCAGGATACTGGAGCCAGCCCATGTGCACCATTGGTTTGGGATCCGGTTAAAGCGCTGGACATTTGCTTTTCGTCCTCTCATTTTTGTAAACAACACCCCCACCACGAGAAGGTAGTGAGTAGGACTTCCCTGGCAGAGGCTGTATACGCGTGGCCATGTGAGAGCATTTCGAGAGGGAGAGCGGACTCTCCCCACTCTCAGCGGTATCAGGGCATTTAGGGTCATCTTTTCCGTTCTAACAATGGATGTGACATCACATCCACCAACCTGCCACAGTAAATAAGGCAGGTCGTACTGTAATTTAATTAGAAATGTAAAACTGGTAAGGCACTTCCTTAGGATATCCAACATACCATGCTATCCTTTCGTCTAATCAATGAGAGGCTAGCATAGAATTATCTCAAAAACATTGCATTTCGCTCTTTGGCGAGACCATAATTTTAAATGACTTTTAAGTAGACCCAGTTGTCACTCAAATATACCTTAAACTCTGTGCTTGTTCAGTTTTAACTCTCGAGTAGTCCACAATGTTCTACGTCCTAGGTAGCCTGGTAATATTATTATCCTGCACAACTAATAACATCAATGTTCTGTGGTAAAGTATTTCTTCAATGCTCCACTCTGTGGAGCAAAACAACCCAGTTCAGTGTAAACTGGCCTCCTAATCGTCTTCTTATCGCCTCACAAGTAGCGTTCATGTAAACCTCTTCTTGCACGTACTCCCAGGTTTTTTTATACATATGCAGAACGAATGTCTATGTTCTCCTGAATATCAGACATTTTTGAGTTACTTAACGTGCCACAACATTCAAACTGAATAGCATAAGAACATTATATCATAACGATAATTAGCAACAGTCGTAGCTTGTCAAAAGATTATATCTTATCCCTAGTATAACAAGTATTCGATACTAATGACCTGTCATGTTTAATTCACTGGACTCATAATATTTGTATTGGTCAACTGTTTACGGTTGCATCACAAGCCCCTAGTAACATTCCCATTACTTTGATTCTCAGTTTTCTATATCTTAACTTTTTAGTCAACCTTTATCATCTTTGTAGCATTCACTGAAAATTATGTTGCGACCGGCTTCGGTGCATACCTTGCAATGCCTATTCTAAGAGAATGTTTGGAAATAAAAGCAGGGGGAGATCCAAACAATATAACGGAAGAAGATGCTATCTCTACAATAACAAGTGCAATGAAACAATTATACTTCAGAGATTGTCGGTAAATATCTCAAGTTTTTTCGGATTATTTCAATTACATTTAAGTCAAATTAGTTTTAATAATGTATCATTTAGTATTTAGGCAATTTTGAATTTGCAAAATGATGGCTATAAGCTAATTCCTAATCAACCACCAATTCACAGTTTCTTAATATTATGACAAAAAACTACACTTTCTTTTGAGTATTTACTAGTGTGTCGATGAACATACTTAACTGATTCTACTCCAAGAAGTACTTTTGTAAGACTTGTAGGGAGTTGTACGTACACTCACCCTTAGTCAGTCAGTTATGCTCAATATAAAAGTTGGCAACTTTTATATTAGTTCAAGTTTCCATACTCTATTAGCACAACTAAATGAAATTTTCAGGGCGAACCCCAGAAGAGTAGAATCAGTGACAGTATTTGTTATGGTGAAAAAGACTAGTCTCCAATGAATTGCTGATATTCAGTGGCAACACCATGTTAGTAATGCGGAGGTACGGCAGCTTGTGTCCAGACACATTGACGGTGGTTAGTATCATCATCTTGAAACACCGACTTTAGTGACCTGGACATGTACTACGAATGTCGCCCCAATGAATTTCACATGGTGCAGGACTGGTTGGGAAAAACTGAAAGGTAATCAGTTTATGATATAGTTCTATGGTATAATAGAACATTGTACATGACTGACATCTATCCAACCTTCATGACTCTTCCTGTGGTCTGCGGAATAGTGCAGCTCAGTGGTTCACTGAAAGGATTCGCTTGGGTTTTATTTTTCTCAACTGATCTGCTTCTTTCATTTTTTTTTGGACTCATTCAGTTATTTTTATTCATTTGTTGTTTTTAATTTTACTCAGCTTTCCTTTATCTTCTCACAACCTCATTTTCTTATTTACACAATGCATATTTTATTTTGCTGTTTATTTGTACCAATATATCAGTTTTAAATAAGCAAATAAACAGTCTGACAAGTTGAGGATTTTTCTGCTCTTAACAAAGCAATGGAATTAATACTGAGGCATTACCCAAATTTTCTATCAGTAATTAAAAGTGACACCAGTCCATGAAGTGATTAACAATTGGACTGACAGTCATGTTAATGAGTATGGACTACCTGGTTAGGGTCCAAGTGATTATCGTAGCCAAATTTTTCCAACCTTGGATAATATGGCTCAGAAGCGTTAAAATAGCACCAATCTCCACAAACCCATTACCCCCAACTAAACTAAAATAATTAGCTCACTAGTAACTTGGTTCAATGTATTCCAGAATTGGTTGGTGAAACTCATTCTTTATCGTCCATTAGAAACTGACTTTCTTATTTCTGTCACCATACTTAATCTCTTCTTTTCTACTGATACTGCTACAACGCCAACCATCCTGGGATTTTTTTACCGTGCTAATGGAGTATTACGACCTGAACTGATGGTCATACATAACAGGCTCTACGTTGCTTATGAAACAAAAATCTGATATAATTTAATCATCATATCAGTGTTTAATTTCTTTTTGTTTCTTTCCTATAAATGAATAGTGCATTCGATACGTATCAAATGGCTGTTGTCAATAAAGAAGGGATACAAATCAGTGGCCCATTACGCCTGAAATGTGATTGGTCTATCGCTGAATATGTAAAGGGATATGATTGAAAAAGAATTTGTTTTAAAGTTTCTTTTTGTGGGAAATAAATTTTTGATAGAAAAGAAATTTTTCAGCCGATAAATTTTGTTCTACAACTTACATCGACCTGTATTTGATTTTATTATTCCTGTTAGTTTTTAAGTATTCGACATATTACTTACGTACGCCTGTTATTCCCAATGGAGCATAGGCCACCGACCAGTTTTCTCCAACCCACTCTGTCCTGGGTCTTCTTTTCTAGTTCGTGTTCATTCTCCTCATATCTCGACGTAATGTGTTCTTTGTTCGATATACTAACTTATGAATAATTGGTCAGTCAGTCAGCTACAACGTAGGACCAGGCAAATATGTGCATCGGTTCAAGTTGCCATACCTCATTAAGACAACAAGATGAACACAGGATTCATAGTAGTTAATTCAGTGTTGGTAATATATAGAAGAAAGTGTGTATAAGGAGATAGTACAGGAAGAAAGAATTAGTTGGTAGAACGAAGGATTTGAAGCGATTTTAATACCATAGTTTAAAGGAAGACAGAGTGTATACGCCGACGCCATTGTGGTCGATTCCGAGTCATGGCACCCAGAGTTTCCAACCATTGGTTACAATAGTCGCGCGGACCCCAACCAAGTAGTCTGCATCTACCAACATGGCTAGAAGTTAGTGACTTCAAGCACTGATGTCACATTTTGGTTTGGCCGCCCTAACTTCCAACATTAATCAGCATTGCACGTCGTGGTAATCGGTGTTCAGGTATACTAACACGTGGCTCAACCATCTCAGTCTATGAAGATTCACAATCTTATCAACCGATTTAACATCACTCCCCAATACCATGAGTCTATCCTCATTATTACTTACCCAGTGATCCCAGCAATATTTCTAAAGCACCTGTGGTCAAATACTAGTAGCTTAGGAGTATCTTCCACTCTTAATGGCCACATTTCGCAATGGTAAACTAGAACAGAACGAACTGCTACGCAGTATACTCGTCCGTTTATTGATAGACGGACATCTCGCCTTTGCCATAGTTGACGTAATTTGGCAAAAACCAAACGA